AAAACGTGCTAAAAACGCGAAAAAAACGAGCAGAAAAAATATGCCCAGGTGTGAACCCACGATTGCTGGGATGCAACACCATTGAAATCAATGGAGCCGCGAGGCAATCGCTGCGTACAATCGTGCACGATATTTAAACCTAGCCTAAACCTTTTGTAACGCTGATAGAACTGTCTCAAAGATCTCTTCTGTGAACTGTTGGAGATCTACAGGCAGAGAAGTTATTTTGGAGAGGTTAGGAGAGTAATGAAAACGTAACAAATATCAGGGGGCGGGAGGGAAATCTTTGTGGGGAGCCACTAGAAAACAAGGAATTAGAAACTTTTAAAGAAAAAAAGCAACAGCCTCCAGCAAAGGAGGGTCTCCTTAAAGGAGAAATGTAAAAAAAATTAGGCTTTAATATCACTTTAACCTCCACTTCCTCCTCACCAATATGGTGGTATTTTGTTATGAATTTGTTGCAACAATAGCACCATACAGTTCAAAGTGTCACAAATAAGAGCTACTAGAATTTGTCATATGCGTCAGTGTTAATGCTGGAAATGTTGCAGGGTTTTCATGAATTATAGTATGGCTGTGCTTATCAGCTGTAAGTATTATGTTAATGTTTTGATACTGGAAAGATAACAGAATGAAATATATACGTTATATCTACAGAAAATCTGATTTGAAACTAGCACTAGACACAGAAAATTTACTTTTCACTTCTCTTTTAACTTTGAAATATATAGATTATATTTTCAATAAAACAAATTTTGATCCTAAAATAATATTATAATTGCTCTGTTCCAACAGCAGCCGTGGGCATGGGGGTTGAAGTGTTTTGATAATACAAAGTATTCCATTTTGTGAAGTTGCCAATATAATATTTAGGACAGATGATCACAATACGGCAAGATACAGTTCATACAGTAAAGCTAAATCGTTCCCCTTCAGCGGTAGAGGTTGCACTGTTCTGACTTCAGTATTTGGCCTCACAGTTAAAGTAGAACTATAACCAAAACTTTTTTTTTAGTTTTGGATAAAGGGAAGGTTTTTTTTGCCATATGTGTCCCATTGACCAGATTTCCTTTCACTTCCTGTTCAATATCCACAGCAGGAAATAAGAGGAAAGCCCTCCAAAGAAAGGGAAATCCCTGGGGATCAGCAGGGTCACCAGAACTAGTGACCCCATTGGAAGATTGTTACATATCTCTTACACATTCCTGTTCTGATGACAACCCAAAATGTTGGATTTTCCATTCCTTTCACTTTAAGTGATAACAATCCCCAAGACAAATAGAGAGGGTAAATCTCCTTAACGGGGACACAGACAGCAAAAAAAAAACCTGACAGGTGTTCGAATCCTCCTCCACTCTATCCAAAAAGAAAAAAAGTTGCACTCTACAGTTTAAGTAAAGTTTTATTGTTGTGTGTGTCAGCACTGGGGAGATTCACATCTCTATCCTAGTGACCGTTGTCACTGACACAGAAAGTGATAGGAAATCCAAAGTTTCTGTTGTTACCAGAAGAGAAATAGAAGGGAAGCCTTCCAATAGAGACAGATGGCCTGGTGTTGAAAATAAGAATTTTCCTCACTTTGGAAGAGTTTTCTTCTCACTTCCAGTTGCATCTCAGGAACAGGAAGTAAAAGAAAATGTCCCCAGCAGGACAGAAACAGCAACAAATTGACTTTTAAGGGTTTTCACCCTTCCCTACTGTATTCAAAACTAAGGCAAAATATAGGAAAATAACAGCATGAAAAAAAATAGCTGCTTTTCTTTTAGTTGAGACCCCTAGGGGGGAAGAATGGTTTTAATACCAATGGGAAGGGAAATTGATGGTGGCTGTTTTAGGAAGACGTTATTAATATCTTTCTCTTCTGTTTTTGATTGGATTTCTCCCTGGGAGAGTATTTTACCAGGATGTTTACATGTTTATATGTCTGTATTGTTCTATATAGAAACAATAAAGAAATATTATACAAAAAGAAACACATAGTTTCAGTCCCAATGCAGGAATGTTGGAAGTTCAAAGTGTATTAAATTCCAAACAGGTACATGTAATACTACATTATAGCTACTGAATGGAGCTAATGAGCATAGGAAGTCTTTTCTCCTCCCCATCTAGTCCCTAAATTGCAGTATTACAATACATTACATTTGTCCTGAAAAGAAAAAATACTAAGAACAATAGTTTTTACCTCAAATCACACAAACAAGCGCTCACCATGGGAATAACCAGTACCAAAAGCTGTAGCGATTGAGTTACAGAGATGTTGCACAGTGCCCATACAAATTAAACAAATACTGGAGCTCAAAGTGTTGATCACTTTACAAATTGGTAGAATAGGTAATCAACCGTTTAAGGTCCCCCAAAAAAGACAAGAAGGCACCACCTGAGACTGCAGGAATAGAGGTTTAGTCTCAAACTTTGTAGGGTATTCTCTAGAGCAGTGAAGTTGTGGAACTCCCTTCCCCAGGTAGTGGTATCAGCTGAGAGTATAGACACATTTAAAAAAAAAATTCCATAGATAACACAATATAAAGGGGTATGGAAATTCTTAGTGACTCCTACACAGACACACACACATAGGTTAACCTGGATGGACCTGTGTCATTATTCAACCTTAACAACTATGTAGCTATGTAATGTATGTATGATATTTATGGATCCTTCAGAACACAGGAAAATGATGGACCTCTTATCAGATCAACAAAACCTCAATATGGTAATCTTCAACAATAAATATGGTCAGCATTACATTTGCAAAATATAATGGCGTCAGATGGCAGACGTTTTCCTCAAGTACTCTATTAGTTGACATTGAAGTCTTAGAGAAGCGTGTCTGAGCAGGATGTGTCATGCTCTCAGTGAGGCTGGTGTTACCAGTTTGGATAAGACGACTGCCTAATGAGTGTTTTGGAATGCTGTTAGTATTCCAAACCTTGGCTGTTGCTTAAGAAACCACGTTACATTTAGTGTGGCTCGTGCGTAAAACATGAAATATAACTCGAGTTATATAATCCGTGAATAACAAGTTTGAAGAAGGATCATTTTCTAAACACCAATTATCCACAAAGTTCTAAAAAGGAAGTTAAAATTCAGTAATGACCGGTTTTCTGTAGGTGTGTGATGCCAGACGTGACAGCCTTTTTGCTGCAGACATTCTGTAGAGTGCTGATAAACTATTGGTGGGGCATTAGAGGCAGCACTGGGAATAATTTGCTAAATGTCATTTAAGATCATTTTGGCCTGTTACAAACCAGCTACTGATCTTATGACAAATTCAGATAGAGCACCATCGTGACATTTCTCTGTAACTGTCCTCCCATGTGCTTGACTTGTATAAAGTGACACTAAATTCAGATGTTAAATCTTAAAAACTCATTCAAGTACCTTAGCTATTAACAAAAATCTATCTTATTTGTGTATCACTCAGCTGTAGATCCTCAAATCATCTCTGAATTGGTGCTGACATTGTCCTTCCCTATGGAGGGTGGCTACTTTTGTTGCCAATGGTCCCTGTGGGTGCTGTAAAGTAGCCACCACTCTAAGATCATTCCTATGATGCACTACAATCTCATGTTTAGCTTACTAATGTGCATTGAGACTGTAGGCCATAACAGGAGTGAGCTTGGAGCGGTGGCTACTTTACAACATTCCCAGGGACCATGGGGAACAAAAGTAAGGAAGTTGTGGGAAGTTCAGCCATTGATTTGTAGTTCATGCGGCAGGTTTAGTCAGAATGGTGACACCAGGAAGTGCATATTCACAGTGCTAGGGCCGCAAATAATGATTATTTTCATAATCGATTAGTTGGCCGATTATTTTTTCGAATAATCGGATTAAAAAAATGAAATAAATACCATCCGTAATTTAAAATAAAAAAACACAAATGCAGTGTTACAAACAAAGTTTACTTCAGAATAAAACTGCATGCACAATTTTTTTTTATTGCGGTACTGTGTGTTCCAGTGCGGGCTATCACACTGTGGGTGTCAGCCCGAAACCAAAAATTTATTTTTTTCCTACCTTATATTTTTTTTAAATAATTGTATTGTAAGCACATGGCGCTTGACTTGCTTCAGCTTGGGAATGACAGCTGCCAGTGGCAAGATTCCGCAGATGACAACTGAATGTAAATACAGCAGGTAGCGAGCTGGTACAATAGCCAGCCTGCCATTGGCCATTTCAAATTGCAATAGCCAATAGCAGGCTAGATATTGCTCCCGCCCACTGCTTGCTGTGCCCTCCTCCCAGCGTGGAGGAGAGGGCTAGGGGATCCAACCAACTAATCGATAATGAGAATAGTTGACAACTATTCTCATTATTAATGAATCGATTAGTTGATTGCAGACCTACACGGGGCTGAGGGAAATTGTGTCAGTGCATTGAGGAAGTACATCTTATGGGAATCTTCAATAAGTCATTTTACAAACTTCTAGATGGATATTATTTTTAGCAGCGGGATAGAACTTTTAGAAATTCAGTGTGAATATAGATATTCATGTTGGCCCACATCTTTTTTGGGCTACAACTTGCAGGATAATATTTAGCAATAAAAGGTGATTGTTCTGGGGGGTGGGGGTGGGGGGGATCATTTTCTGGAAGGCAAATGTAGGAAGGGAGGCTTATACAGGAGGAAGAGAGAGATTAGAATAGGAAAAGAAAAAAAAATTACAGAAGGGTGACTGAGGTGATGATGTCTACGTGTCAATGTACAAGTCACCTCAAATGCCCAGAGTATCTATTGCCTAATGAGACCAGCCCACCAGAGTTGTCTAGATGAAGCCACCAAGAAAGATATTCAGGTGTCCAACACAATTTACAGGATTCCTGTCTGCTGTGAGTTCCTTTTACAAATGTTATGTTTTGATGACGTTATGTTTCGAATCTAGATCTAAGTAAATGTTCTTCTCATCTGTTATTAATGTTATTTGTATTCTTTTTTTGCAGTGACTCCTCATAAGTTGTTTTTTTGGACTGTTCTTTAATATATATATCTGCTCTTGTTACAGCTTTGATGTGGACAATGGCACCTCATCGGGACGGAGTCCCCTGGATCCCATGACAAGCCCAGGGTCAGGGCTGATTCTACAGGCAAACTTTGTCCACAGTCAACGAAGGGAATCGTTCTTGTACAGGTCAGACAGCGACTATGACCTCTCACCAAAGTCCATGTCTAGGAACTCCTCCATTGCTAGTGATATGTGAGTACTTACTATTACGGAGCTCTCTCTTTTACTTTTGTACTTATGTACAGAAAATTATTATTATCTTAACCACTGCAGTACCGGCATGTTAAACTCACTTCCTGTCTAGGCCATTTTTCAGTGATGTAAAGGTTTGATTTGAGTATTACTCCATGCCACGGCATCGTACCCAGATTCATTTTATATAATTTTTTTTAGACATATACAGTTTTCCTTTGGTGGTTTTTGCTAGCTGCTTATTTTTTTTTTACTATATAAAGGAAAAAAACAAAACAAAGCCGTTTCCTTTATTTTCTGTTATAAAGCATATCAAATAAAAAATGCCTAGAACAATACAAAAACCCCTAAAATTGCCCCTTTTTGAAAAGTAGACACTCCAAGGTGATCTTTTTTTGCCATACATTTATGGAAATGAAAAAACATGTTGGTATTGAGGGGTTTAAAACATGGTGCACCAGATACAATAAATGTACAGGTCATAAACTGAGGGAGATGGACGTGTAGGGATTAGTGTACAGGTCACATACAGTGCTAGGACAGAGATGAAGGGATTATAACCAGTCACAACAATCACAGGGCACAGAGCAGGACCGACCAGCCCTGTGCCTGAAGCCGCTGCTCTCCGCCTTTGAATGAGAGCGGTATCAGCGGCCTCTATGACCATGTGCACACAGTTGGCCATGGGAGGACATACAGGTACATCCTCCAGGAACAATGGGGCTGCGGACCGGCCACATATCTATAGTAGTTGCTCCGCCGGAGTTCAATGGGCATCTGTTTTTAAAAATATGGGAGATGCCATTTTTTTACTTGTTTTAAAGGCGCAGGTTCCAGTGCTCTCATCGTTATCCTTGTTTCACTACATAGTGGATGACTGAAGCAGAAAAGGATGTACATACACATGGTCCCGGAACAAGTATGCAGCTATCGAAGTCTCAGTGCACCTCACCTAGTGGTCAAGCACAGACAAGGATGACAGCCCTGCGTTTGCAACTGTAAAAACAATTTGGGAAAGGTCGCTCCCATATTTTCATCCTGACCAGTTCCCTTTAATTCCAGAACAAGTGCTCATTGCTGTGTGTTGTGTACAGTCTACTATTACTATGTTTACACAAAATGAATTACGCTTCTGTAGGCATTACATTACGCTGACGTAGTTCTGACGACATCCCAATAAAGTAAACCTAGCAATGTCTACAACCAAAGTTAAAAGAAAATCACGCTCTGACTTTTTACTTAGTTTAGTAATACATTAATAATGTTCCAAATAGGACTAAACGACGCATATTAATGCAGCTCTCTAACCATGAATACACCATGACATGCATTTTTCTTTAATGCAAGCAGTGTAGGTATGTGAATTGGACTTGGCATCAGTCTCTTACAGTCTATATATTATTATTATTACATAGTATTTATATAGCGCCAACAGTTTGCGCAGCGCTTTACAATATAAGGAAGACATTACAGTTACAGTACAAATCAAGACAAGATGGTAAGGAGGGCCCTGTCCGTGAGGGCTTACAATCTGAAAGAGGAGGGGGAAATGATACATGAGGAGGTAGCTGTGGGAATGAATTATTTGAGAATGTGAAGGTTCAGTGGTTAGGTCGAGGTGGGATAGGCTTCCCTGAAGAGATGAGTCTTTAGGGAACGCCTAAAGGCAGTCAAGGTGGGAGATAGACGGACAGGTTGGGGTAAAGAGTTCCAGAGGATGGGAGAGACTCTAGAGAAGTCCTGGAGGCGAGTATGGGAGGAGTGGACAAGGGAGCTGGAAAGCAGTATACAGTATATGCAGTAGAGCTTAGACAGGAATAGGGGGAAGCAGCACAAGGAGCCAATCGGCTGTCCTGCAATGCTCATATGCTAAAGAGTTACACCCTCGTTGGAGGAGAGAGCAGATGACGGAGAGATGGAACTAATTTTTCTGCTGATCCTTCTCTCATTCAATCACTTAAGGCTAACTTTACTTTTAATGTTTACTTTTAATAGCATGTTTCAAGTTAGACCCATAGAGCATCCCCCCTTTCCTGAATCACGGGGGTTCTTCTCAACCGCAAGCCCCTGTCACATTTTGAAGTTTACGCAGCTATGCATGGCTCTGCCCACTCCATTGACAGGATCTGTGAATGGAGAGACTACAAGTACTGTCTGCCACCGTGGCAGCGGACCTTGTCATTTTCAATCTGGGGCAAGTGAGGTTACGTCACCTCACTTGTAGTCCATTCATACTTCCTCCTGTCTCTGTAAATGAAAGTGTAAACCTCGGTATGGACGGGGACAGGAGGAAGAGTCTGCATGAGCCAGAGCATTGTGCCCATGATCTACTGATCACGGTTGCACTGCTTTACTACCAATGCAAAAACATAATGAATGCACGTTTTTTCAAAACATCTGTACATTTATTATATTTTGCAGGGCTGTAGCTACCATGGGGCGAGGGAGGCACTCGCCTCAGGCGAAGCTGAGAGGGGGAGTAGCCAGGTCCGGCCTGGCTGTGCCCGCTCGCCCCTGTTGCCATGGTGAGCACAGGGTGCCATTGGCAACAGGGGAGCCAGGCGGCCAGCACAGCCACGGTTTGGCAGGGAGAAGAGGAACGGCACAGGCTCCAGCTTCTCCTCGGTTTCCCGTTGCTCTCCCCCACCCCAGGACTCTGTGTCCTCAACCTCTTTTTCTATTTCAAAAGGGAAATGTCAGGTGTCTGTTTAGACCCCCAATATTTCCCTGAAGCCCAGCACAGTAAAAAAACAAAAACAAAAAAAAACACCCCCTCCACCCCACACACTCATGCACACATATTATTAGACATGTGCTAATACTAAGTATTTGACTAACCATTTTTTTCGGACGAAATGAACGGAAACTAAAAATGTTTTCATAATGTTCCGTCAAACAAAACAAATTTTTATGCTATTTTGGATTTGACCACCAGCGCATTCTGACGTCCCATACAGCACACGTTTGTTGGGGGGCACAATTTTCTGCTCTTGCCTCGTGCACAAAAGGAGCTAGCTACGGCTCAGATTTTTTTGGTAGAAAATGGGCTTTGACTTTAACTACAGCTCTCCAAAATCAGGTCTCCTGCCTGCCAGACAGGGTTGTGCTGTGTGGCAGAGCTGTATAAAACATAGGATTGGATGGGCAGAGATACAAATCCTTTGGCAGGTAATACAGTTCCCTTCTGTACTTCACTCGTGTATTTAGCTGCTTGCCTGGAGTTTAGCTTTAATTATATCCAATATCTGCTATTTATTATTTCTGAGTTCTACTTCCTCTCACTTTTTCTATTGTTGGGCCATGTTCCTTTCAGTCCCTGACATGTAGATTGTTTGTGCTGCCCATGATAAGCAGCCCTGATCTCCCTGCCAGGGTATTATGGTCGGACGGGTTGTAGAATCTGATTATCATCAGCAACAATGCAACATGACTCTGATATATCAGGTTGAATTGCTTGCCTGGGAAGGTGGACGACTGAAAATATCTATTATGATTGCTGCCAGTCAGGTGTCATAGATGGCATTTCCTAAATGTAATTTATACAAATGTCCATCATCATTTTTATACTCTAAGCACATCTCTGCCAAAAAATATCCCTGAATTGAAGGCATTATTTTTCACTTGTTAAATGTTCTGTAGTCACGAACATGAAAATGGTTAGGAACCATCGCTCAGAATTTCATTATAGACCACTGGGCAAACTTAGGAGCAGTCTCATCGCTTCTCATATTGCAAGTGCAACTAAAACCAACACTTTTTTGTTAGTTTTGGATACAGTGGGGAGGGATTAGAACCCCTGTCAGGTTTTTATTGCTGTCTGTGTCCCCTCTAGGTAGATTTACCTGCACTGTTTATGCAGGTGACTGTTATATGTAAAAGTGAAATAAAATGTTAAAAAATTGTGTTGTCATCAGAAGAGGATTACATTGGAAATCTTTCAATGGGGAAAAAAGTTCTGGTGACCCTGCTGACCACCCGGGATTTCCCTCACTTTGAAGCGATTTCCTCTCACTTCCAGTTGTGGCTGTCAGACAGGAAGTAAAAGTAAGTTTCCAGAATGGGACACAGATGGTGTTTTTATAGGCATGTGCACAGGGTGTGCCCGCATGTGCCCGGCACACCCTAATTCCCCAGCGTGCAACACCAAAACCGCAACAGCAGGCGGTCACTGAGCCAGTGGAGAGATAACAAAGATCTCTCTGTGATCGGCTCAGTGATACAGGGCGCAGGTGTTTTCCTGCTGGATTTTTGCTGTTCAGGCGTGAACAGGACCATTGAAAATCATGGGAAATGCCTAGGTGTGAACCAGGCGTAAAACTTCTCATTCATCCATGGGGCTGAACAAGAAAAAATAATTTGTGTATGACCAGCCAAACATTATTATAAGGGCTGAAGATCACATCATACCACTGAAGCTGGGAGAAGGGATCCAAGAGCATACCCTATGTCATTTCTTTCAGAAACAGGGTGCCCCTTAAAATTATGCTAGCTGTGCCGCCCCAATGGGGCATAGAATATGTTGTAGAAGTTAGTACAGATAGAAGTTTTACATAGTGTGTTTGCCTATATATTTTCTCATAGTTAAATCCATGTGTTATCCTATGCTGCCATCTAGTGGCCTTTTGTTGTAATGTACATGTTTTTCTGTGATTCTTTGTCATGTGACGATGTATTTCCCCCTAGTGTACACCCCTTCCTTCTTCCTGTGTGCAGTACTTCCTGTGTCATGGCCACAGTTAAAAGCCACATGTAACAGGACACACATACAATCTGCACAGTACGTAGGAAAGGCATCATTTTCTGACCGCACAATACTATAACCATTCATCTGCTGTTCCTATCATCTGCTGTAATCCTGATGTGAAGAATAAACACCTCTTTTGAATGAATCAGTATTGACGAGTTTAGCTATCTGACGAGGATTGTCCGCAGTGAGTATATCTGCTTATACAGGCCAGGCATAGAGGTCTCAGCAAGGGATATATTTCGCTATCACAACA